GGCGGCGGGCAGGATCCCGGCAGGCAGGACCGGAGCGCGGAGCCCCGGACCCGCCTCGGGACTGGGACTCGGGAGACACTTTGAGGCCCGCAGAGGACATGTCTCCAAGGCCGAGTGTCAGCCGGGTTAGCCTCCCCCAAGGCAGCCTGCGATTCATTACTTTTGGGGCCTTGCAGATCATTTTGAGAACCAGATGAAAGCTCTGTACTCGTTTTTCAGGGAAAGATGCACTCACGCACAAACCTGTACAGCATTGGCGGGGTGTAGGGGGAGGTTCAGGCCTTCTTGAAGCCCAACATCCACACAGTCCATGAGGGTCACTGGGCCAAGGTTAGGAAGATAGATTTCCAGGGCCTTGGGACTGACCTCCCCTCCTCCCTCCAGTTAGAACTAGGGTTTGGCCCATTATCAAGAGGCAGTGCCCATATTTTTATAAGGTACAAGAGGTCACTGTCCCTTTTGGCCCCAGGAAAGAATCTTTTCGGGCCTCTTCTATCCAGTTACCCAACTCCATCTCTTCCAGAATCTCAAATTTTGATTTCTTTTTGGGAGACGGGGATAAAGCAACATGATAGTGGAGAAATAGGTGCTCAGCTGGTGTGGGGGAGAATGTACTGCTCTGACCTAGGGGCAGCAATACTTGAAGATCAGAGGTCTCAGTGTTTTATTCCTGATGCTCCACCCGCCTCACCTATCGGGTACCCACACAGAATCTGCCTGGGGAAAGTATCTTGTTTGGAGCTTGATGGCTATTTTTAGCCAGTATTTTTAGCATTTAAAAATACTGAGAGAGGCAGCAGTGTGTGCTGTTACTCATCTGTGGCCTCCTTCTGTTCCTCTTGGCCTGCTCATCCTCACATGTACACGCGCACTGCACACACGACCACAGCCACACAGGGAATGTGCCCAGGACACACGTATGGCTGTACCCCAGGCCTCCCACAGAACAGCAATTTTGTGCTGTTGAGAGGGGTGTACAGACAGTTGCCCCTGTGTGTTCCAGGAGTGGTGGTGGGAGGAGTGGACAGCAGCAGGAGCTATAGGGCATTCTCCTGGCTAATAAGTGAGGGCGGGATGTTAGGTCACTGTCCTCGCCCAGTGACCAAACCTGGACCTTGGACAAAATGCAGCTGCCTTCTTTCTAACCACACCCTTTCAAGCCAGTCCTACGCTGTCTGCAGCAATGCCTGCATTTCATCACATCACTCTTCTGCCCTGAAACACCACAAGTGGCCGACTCTTCTCTCCAGTACGGAAGCCTCAAGTAGCCCTGTCTGTGAGGCTGTCATCCATAGGCAGCACACCATTGTCACCACCCTCCCTCTTCTCTGATCCTTGCTGCCAACCATCCTGCTTCATCACTTGCCTTCTCTCAAAAAGCAAAACTGATTATGTACTTACTAAATGCTAGGTACTTCTAAGTGCGTTATATATATTATCCCAGTTAACTTGCATAATAACACAATGATGCAGTAACTATTACCTCTGTTTTCTAGATGAAGGACCTTAAGCCCTGAGAGGTCAAGAGAGAGACTTGCCAGGACCACAGAGCTAGTAAATGGCAGTGTGGCTTTGAACCCATACCTGTGCTACAGCAAAACCCAGGCTTGCAGCAACTACCAGGAGATTCTGGATGGCCCTTCCTGTTCTCTGCTAATTACCTGCTGGTAAATTCTGCTCAAAACACATGTTTTCCACAAAGCTTTCTCTAATGAACTCCACCCAGCTCTAAATACCCCATTACTGTCTATTAATGTTGTTTGCACTGTATTAATTTGTCTTAATATGTTTACCTTTGTTTCCTAAGTGTCTCTAAGACTTCTGTAAATGATCTGAGCTTGTGTGTTGATGGTGCTGTCACACTGATACCTCCTCAAGGGCAGGGCTGGGGCTTCTTAGTGGGTGCTTAACAAAGGTGTTGAGCCCATCACTAAAGAGGGCCAGACCAGGCTCTGCTGGGCATCCTGGAAGTCGAACTGGGCCTTGGGAGAGGGGGCAGGGTGAGTCTGGGTCTGCCTGTTGAATATGTGCAGCAGACAACGCTGTCCGTCAGGTGCTC